ATACCACCACTCAATCATCAACTCCCCGGCCAACCTGTCAAATCTGCAACAAATCGGGTCACATTGCTGTGCAATGCTGGCATCACTGCAACTTAAACTGTACACCAGCTCTCCAAAGACAGGGCACTTGGTCCTTAGTACCATTTCCTTCTCAACATCTCGTCCTTGGATGCAAGTGGACCTATAAATTGAAACGGGACTCCGCCGGCAACATCGACGGGTACAAAGCAAGGTTAGTCGCCAAGGCTACGAGCAACAACCAGGACTCAACTACCACGAGACATTCAGTCCCGTTGCTAAGCTTCCAACAATCCGTATCCTGTTTACTATTGCACTTCAGCGAGCTTGGTCCATTACGCAGCTAAACGTCACAAATGCATTCCTCCATGGTGACTTAAACGAGGATGTATACATGACTCAACCCCAAGGCTTTGTCGACCCTCAATATCCCGGGCACATCTGCAAATTGAACAAGGCCATCTATGGCTTAAAGCAATCTCCACGGCAGTGGTATAACAAACTCACAACCCAACTTCAGGCCGAAGGTTTCCACTTCAGCAAATCAGACCCAGCACTCTTGATTCTCGAGACCGACTCCGCTCAAATCTACATCCTCATTTACGTCGATGACATGCTTATTACCGGGAATGATCCACAACAAATACAGGACATCATGTCCAACTCCAAGAAGCATTCTCTCTTAAAGAACCAAAACCACTCTCCTTATTCCTTGGCATACGTATATCTGCCACGCCATATGGTCTCTTCCTAGACCAACAGCAGTATGCCCAATACATCCTCAAATCCAGCAGCTTTCTCAACTGTAAACCACTGCTCACCCCTATTGCACTAAAACCGTCCAGCTCCGCTAACGCGGGTCTCCAACCCATTGATCCAACTCATTATCGCCAGCTTGCAGGATCGCTGCAATACTTAACCATCACCCGCCCTGACATCGCCTTCGCCACGAATCAGATTTGCCAGCATATGCATGACCCTCAACACATCCATCTCCAAACGCTCAAACGCCTGCTAAGGTACATTCAAGGCACAATCACCTACGGTCTTCCCCTCCGTCGCAGCAATCTTACTCTTCAATCCTATGTCGATGCTGACTGGGCTTCTGATCAAACAGACCGCAAATCTATATCCGGCTTCTGCACTTTCCTCGGAGATAATCTCATTTCTTGGTATGTTAAAAAGCATGTTATAGTAGCCAAGTCATCTACTGAGGCCGAATACCGTGCGCTCGCCGCGTCCACCTCCGACGTCTTATGGCTGTGACGCCTACTAGCAGACTTCGATGCTGTGTAACTCTCTCCCACCAAAGTGTTCTGCGATAACATCTCAGCCATGGCACTCGCTAATAACCCGGTCTTTCACGTGAGAACCAAGCACATTGAGATCGATTACCACTTCATCAGCAACCACATCCAGAACAAGGAAATCACCATTGAGCACATTCACTCTTCCGATCAACCAGCTGACATACTTACCAAGCCCCTTCCAGTCACCCGCTTCCAACTACTTCGCAACAAACTCACTATCGTCTCCAACGACAGTAAGAAGTCTGAGGGGACTGTTAGCAACCAACATCACGTGATCACTACGACTGGCATCTGGCCGCAGCAGGCACCACA